TAATTCAATTTTTATGAAATTTAGAATATATATTTATCAAATCTAGAGCAATCTGCTTGCATAATTTGAAGTTTTAATATTACAAATTGATAGTAATAATATTTAAAATATCTATTTTTTTAAAAAAAATTTTATTTTAGTTTTTTTTAGTAAAGTAATACTTTATTATAAATTAAATATAATAGAATAGTTAAAATAATATAAAAATTAATTTAGATTGTTTTTTATTTAATATAAAAAAATTATAAAGATTGATTAAAATTTGAATAATTTTTATTAGAAGCAATTATTGATTTTATATTGAGATATAAATCTTTTTGTGCTAACACATATTAATAATTAAATTTACAAATTTATACTAAATTTATAATTATTATTTTATTATATATATTAATCTTTTTATTAGATTGTTTTGCACTAACCCATATTAATAATTAAATTTATAAATTTATACTAAAATCTATAATTATTATTTTTATTATATATATTAATCTTTTTATACTTTTATTATAAATTTTATCATTATAAGAAATATTAATAATATTATTTATAAAGAAATAAATTTGTATGAATTATCTTGATTTTTTTTACTATGAAAAATCATCAAAATATTATTATAGAGAGATTGAATTATATTCAGATAATATTTATTAAAATATTTTTAAATAATTTTTATTCTTGTTAAATTCCAATTTGTTGCTTTTAACATAAATTTTGTAAAATATTTTATTAACGTAATATTATAAAATCATATTTAATATTTTAAAAATATTTACAAGTTTTTAAATAATTCTAAATTTGATCCAAGTTTAAACTTCACTTGAAATTAAAATCAAACTTGGTGTTTCAAGTAAAAAATTTAAAATTATAATTTTCAATCCAAAATTTAAGTTTAGAAAAGCTTTTGTGGGTTTAACAAATGCTTTATTAGTTAAATTAATTTAATCAACTACTGCAATTAAAAAATTTCAAGAAATATTTATTTTAATTTATGTGACCCGAGATCCATTAAAACAATTTGATTTTTATCAGAAACATTATTTAAACATTTATTATGATTTGTTTGTTTTATTATTAAGTTTGATTTTGTCAATTATAATCAGTCGAAAAATATTGGTGTTTATAATGGTGATATTTATCAACCAATATACGGGGAACTTGTAGCAACAACAATAGCAATAATAGAAATGGTGTAACAATGGTAGGAAAATACATGTATTAATAACATTAATAGGTAAAGGAGAAAACTCTTTCTTAGTTGATCTTATTAAATTTAATATACAGTAATTTATTAAAATCCTTAAAAATATGCAAAAAATAATATACAAAAGTAAGATGAAAAGATACGATATACGATAGTTATAACAATTTACAAAACTAATGGAGTGACGCAACCATACCAAATTGCTATCTATTATTATATTACATAACAATCACTCCACTTTAAATATACTGCACACATTGTCATAGGCTTGTTCAAGCCCGCTTTTATGTGCCATTTTAAACCCCCAAAGAGCTGCATGAATGTCAGTTTCAGTCCCGAGTCCCCAATTTTTGCATAGTGCAACCCCATATTGCGCACACCATCCTTCACCACATTTATAATAATAATATGCCTTAAATAAATCTTGGGAAGTTCCTAGTCCTGCCAAATAACAATTTCCTAATCGACTTTTAGCTATCTTATTTCCGGAATTAGAAGATTTATGATACCACATTATCGCTATCTCAAGGTTCGTTGTTATGCCAATACCATTTTGATAACAGTCGCCTAATAGATATTGTGCATATGGATCACCAGCTTCGGCTGATTTCTGATATAATTGGAATGCTTTCATTTCATCCTTATCAGTCCCAATACCCGATAAATAACAGTTTCCAAGTTCGGTTTGAGCATTTATGTTTCCATTCATTGCAGATTTTTCATACCAAAGAAAAGCTTTCTCGTCGTTTTTTTCTGTACCAATGCCGTTGAGATAACAACCAGCAAGATGCCATTGAGCATTAGAATATCCATTTGATGCTGAATTTTGGTACCAAAAGAAAGCTTTATGCCAGTCGATTTCTGTGCCAATTCCATCGTAAAAACAATGAGCCAAATTATTTTGGCCAGGTGCGTATCCAGATTCTGCTGATTTCGCGTACCAGTAAAACGCAAGATCAAAATCTACCTCTGTACCGAAACCAACTCGATAGCACCAGCCAACAATATTTTGTGCTATTGGATCATTTCGAAGCTTTGCTACTGATTTATACCAATAAAATGCTTTTCTTCCGTCAATATTAGTTCCGATTCCCCAATGATAAAAAAATGCAAGAAGAGAAGCGTATTTTAACTTCGCTTCATTACGATGATCATATACTATTTGAAATATTCGTTCTGGTGCGTATTTGTTGACAAATAACCAATGTTGTATACGACTGGCAATTTTATCTGCAAGCTCATATTTCTCACCACCCTTTTTTAAAATTAAAAGCATTTGATCGATAGGAAATTTTCTGGTAATATTGTTGAATACGCTATAAGCTTCGAATCTTGCGAGTTTTTTGAATTGAAATCGTCCCATATTCTCGATTATTTAAAAAAAGAGTAACAACGAAACATTCATATATACATTAACGTAAGAGGGAAAAAGAAGTCTCAGTTAATTCACATTCCCTTTCTTCCGTATCTTTGTGACTGAGATTCTGAATTCATTTGTTCTACTTGGAAGTGAGAAAGAATACAGATTGCTTTGATGCAGACAATTTAGTAGTACATTGTTACTTTGGCCCCTTTCAATCACGTCATACGGTGTATTTGCGAGTAACACTACGTTATTCAAATTTTCCTTGTTCGATGTCTCACAACACAAAGTTAAATTTAAAATTTACTATCTGAAAAAATTAACTCATTCTTTTGTTATTTACATACGTAATTTTAGGAAAAATTATTAATTTTCGCGAACTAATCGACTCTGTCCCTTTGAAACCATTTTAAGGTTTTCTCAAAACTAAATTTGTCTCTTTCAACAAAGAAAAATACCTTTGTGCTAGTCTCTTGATCTTTCTACTAGGGTTAACTTATCGTGCTCATTCTTATTTTTTCTATATTAGTTCATATATAAATACTTTGAGAAAAAGTACAATAGCATATACTAGATTTAGCATCTCTTGATTTCATATAATTTGAACTTTTCCATTTTCATTCTACTAATGTAGACAAACGGTCTAGGTCCTCTTGTAAGCTGAATGTCTTTGTAATAGTTTGATATGAAATCAAGTATTATTTCGGGTTTTGTGGGAAAATTACTGATTTCTTTAGTTATATCTTTATATAATTACTCAAATTTATTTTTCAAAGCCTATGTTTATAAAGTGATTTGATTGTATATTTCTACTTATTTTTTTATTACTGTAATGAATTTTTTTAAATTTAATAATACTTGTGTTATTAGCCAATGATTTCTGAATTTATTAATATAATGATAATAAAGTAAAAATTTTCTTCTACTAAAATTTTAATTTATTATGATAATTTATATTTAATAAATATTTTTATAAATTATATTCGTAATATTGCAAAAAGATAGTTCTGTCATCAAAATTTATTTAAATATAGATATTTTATTATATATTTTTATTAATAATAATTTTTTTAAATTATTATTTTATAAATTTTACTATATAAAATTTAATTAAATTAATATAAAATATATATATTAAATAATTTAATTATTAAATTTTGAGACTTAATTTCTTAATAATTACTATAATAACTAATTAATTTTATGAAATTTAAAAAATATTTTTATTAAATATAAGATAATTACTTATATAAATATTATTTTTTTAAAAAAATAATTTTGTTTTATTTACAAAAATATTACTATATTTATTATTAAATTAAAATATAATAAAATAATATAAATAATATAAAAAGTTAATCTAAATTATTCTTTATTTAATATAAAAAATTATAAAAATTAGTTAAAGCAATTAATAATTTATATTTATAATATGAATTACTTTATATTAATATTAATATAATGCTTAAATTTTTTACTAATAATAATTAATAAAAATATATTTTTATATAAAAAGTTTTTAATTTTAATTTTTAATAATTATTAATTAGTAAAAATTCAAAAAAATAAAGAACTTTAGCTTTTTTAAGTTAAAAATAAATAACTTTATATCAATAAAAAATATATATTTATAATTAATAAAAATTCAAATAATATATTAATTATTAATATATAGAATAATTAAAAATAATATATCAAATAATAATTTATTAATAAATTATAATAATTATTAAAATTTTAAACTTTATATTATTTTTATATTAAATTAAATTTCATAAACTATAATTTAATATATATTTTTTTAAATTTTTCTAAAAGATTATTTAATCATAAAGTTATTATAAAAATTCTTTATTAATTAAATTTTATTTTTAATTAAAAAAATTTTATTATAATTTTATAATTAGAATAATTCTTTCAGAAAAAAGTATATATAAAATTATAGATTATAAATTTAATTTAATATAAAAATAAAAATATTTATTAATATATTATTTTTAATTATTTATATACACATATAGTGACAATCAAAAATAATGCAAGCTTAAATTTTTTACTAATTATAATTAGTAAAATATGTATTTTTCCTTACATATAAAAGTTTTTAATTTTACTAACA